AGTGGTAGCGGGCTCAAAATGAGCCTTGCTCAGTGGTAATTACCACGAGGATTTGGGACCAGTGGCGTCATTCTGGCGTCAGCAAACGTGAAAATCCTTGAAAATCCGCCATGTTTTTGGCTTCACTTGCTTGACTGAAGAGAGATAGGGGCACTTCCTCCAGATATATTATAGCTCAGTGTTTGACGTCCACGAAAATTTTTAACTCGCTCACGTCAGGCCACGCCATCCTGGCTAGTACAGCCGGAAGTTTTTATCAGGATTTGGTAGGTACAAAGTGCCGGTTGTACTAGCCAGGATGGCGTGATTGATGACGAATCGCTTGTAAAAACGCGGACAAATATTTGCTCGAGTTACGCTTCTGGTATAACTTCCTATTCTGTGATGAAAGCTATGATGAAAAGTTGTAAACGCCATCTAAATACGTCACTTCCTGTGTTCTGTTCTGACTGCCCCTACTCGAAAATCGGGGTAGTCAGAACAGTTCGGAACAGTCATGTGACTATCTTCTGTTTCATTCCATTAGTGTTCCGAAAATTCGGAGTACTCCGAACAGTAAGTGGAGCAGGGCTTCTGAGAGCAATAAGCGCAGAAGCCCTGGGTACGAGGTTGTAGATTACTGTAAAAATTGAGTGAAATGAAGTCCCAACTGAAGCGACGAGGGACGAGGCAAGGAAATGAGTACGGACCGGTTCGAAACCGGAAAAACCTGTTTGGTCTGGGGATTCCCCAACCTCGTACCCAGGGACTTTCTTGGGGAGCAAAGACCCTGGTGGACGCTGGTCACGTAGCAGATTTTTAATTAGCAATCCAAGATCAGGTCAATAAACATTTGATATTTGGATTATTTTGATAGTTTAATCTATAATTTGCATTTTGTATGCTTGTCGTAAAGAAAACCAAGATATTTAATTAAAAATCTGCTAGATTTTAGCAGATCACGTGACCAGCGTCTACCATGAGGGTCTTTGCTCCTTTGCTCCCAGACTAGTCCCAAGTCCTGTGTGCACGCTTTTGATTTCCGTGACGTCACCGAGCGAAATTAATATGCAGAAACGCGCAATAGGCGTACTAAGAGGCCTAGGGACTAGGCTGCTTTCAACATGATCTCTTCTCAAAATTAAGGCTATGTCTTAATTGTTAAACTTTTGAAAATTAAGGATATGGCTTAATTTTGAAAATCTCCAAAATTAAGGCATAGCCTTAATATAATATTACCACAATCATTAGGCAAGGTTTCCTACTATAAAAGTAATGGCCATACTAAAGGAGGAAAAAAAAGGTCGCCAGATTTGGATTGGATCAGGGTTAGACTAAGATGACATTAGGATTAGGATTAGCGGTTAGGGTGGGGGTTGGGGTGGGGGTTATGTTTAAAATTAAGGCAATGTCTTAATTTGAAACGCTTTATACAATTAAAGTGCCCCTGACACAAAATTTTTTTTTCAGTCTATTGAAAGTACTCATTTAGCATAGTGTTCTAGCGAAAGAATTTTTCGATTTCATCAAAACGAAAAAATTTTAGAGGCGTTTGAATCCAAATATTTTTGGCTAATGGCCGTCGTCGACAGAAGTCTGGCACTAGCATTTATTCTGACGTCACGCAAGGGAGTCGAGTCTTGATGGTCTGTTAAGTTATCTGTTTTGATCAGCTCGAATGTTTTGTTCGCTGAAGTGTTGAACTTTTTATATTCTAAGTTCTATAAAGTATCATGTCAACAGAATCAACAGAATCAGTCCGATGATTCTGGAGCGAATTTTATACCTGATTAATATGATGTATTGGAAGATGCTGATATGTAGCTGCATCTCGTCAGGTCTCTAGTGGTATCATTAATATTACCAAATCTGCGATGCGGACGTGTCGAAAAACTGCCGCTATTATCACAGTTT